TGATTTTGCTGAACATACTGTCTTCCAAATCCACCCATTTCCTGAGGCGTTTGACAGTTCCATCACTGATCTTTGAGGAGGCATAATATTCCATCGGATGAAAGCACCAAAGCTCATTTACCCACTCCTCCACAGACACGTACTTTGTTCACTGCCATTCTTTCGCTATGTGGATAGTGCTGCTATAAACATGGGTGGGCACACATCTGTTTGTGTTTTGTTTCTTATTTCTTTGGGGTGTGTACTGAGTAGAGAGATCACTGGGGCATACGGTACTTATTTCGCCTTTCTTTAAGGAAGCACCATACTGGCTTACTGTAGAGGTTGTACAATTTTGCAATTCCACCGGCAATGTATGAGGGTTCCAATCTTTCCACATCGTCTCCAGCACTTGCCATTTTCTGGTTTGTTTTGTTTTTTAATTTTGTTGTTAGAGCCAGTGTGAGGTGGTATCTCATTGTTGTTTTAATTTTCATTTCTCTCATAAGTAGTGGGCTCGAGAATTTCTTCCTATGATGATTAGCCGCCTGTGTTATCTTTGATGAATTGTCCATTTATGTCTTCTGTCCATTTGTATTGGATCACTCATGTTTACTTACTGAGTTGTTGTAGTTTCTCTATAAATTTTAGAGACTAGCTCTTTATTCAACATATCATTGTTACAGATGTTTCCCGATCTGTGTGTTCTCTTTGTACTCTTTTGATGAAGTCTTTTCATGTGCATAAATGTATTTTTTAGGAGGTCCCACTCCTGCATTGTGTTTTCTGTAGTATGGGCATTTTGAATTATGTTTTGTGGTATGTTTATTTATGCCTTGTATTAGACCCCATAAGTTTGCCCCGATTTTTCATTGATGACCTTTCTAGTTTTAGGGTTTACATTTGGGTCTTTAGACCATCTAGAGTTCATGTTTGCATATGGTATGAGGTATGGGTCCTGTTTCATTCATTGGCAAATGGAGATCCAATTTTGCCAGTACCATATGTGCAAATTTGTTTTAGCTCATTCTAAAAAAACATGTGTCTGTATATGCTTAGTTTTATTTCTGGGTTCTCTATTCTGATCCATTGCTCTACATATCTATTGTTGTACCAATACTAAGCTTTCTTTTTTAATTGACAGCTATATTGACATATACTCCACATATACAATTCAACGGTTTAGACACATTGAAAGGAGCCGTGTACCATCACCACAATCAATGTTAGACCACCAACATCATTCTTGTACTCATTGTTATTACTGTATATACTCGTGGATAAGCCAGGTGTTTCAGCACATTTTTAATGCAGTTTTTGTGGTAAAATCAGGTGCCTTGGCTGACATGTGGGTTGGCTTATACTCGAGTATAAGCGGTAACTCCTCATTTCCCCACAACCTCTCCCACCATAAACCTAAGAAATGATTAATCCAGTTACAGGCTTTAAGATTTACCTCTCCTGGGTTTCATATAAAGAAAAACAGAACAACAACAGTAAATTAAAACCCCAACAACAATAAAACAGAAAAAGACCTCAAGCAAAAAATAAGAAACATTAGAACAATTTTTAAATGGATCAAAAGGGAGAACAAATGATAAGTTACCGTATATACTTGAGTATAAGCCAACCTGAATATAAGCCGACGCACCTAATTTTACCACAAAGACTGCATTAAAAATGTGCTGAAAAACTCAGCTTATACACGAGTATATAGGTATTAAGTTCTAACCTAATTATACCTGCATTAATCCACTTCCCAATGCACTCTGTCTGATAGCAGGGCTATTCACACCCCTGGCCATTGGTCAGAGAGGGTTCTCTGGAGGGTTAATCCACATGGGGACCCTGAAAATGAATCTTGGGCTTCCATTGTCATCCATAGCCTTCTACAAACCAGGTGCTCAGAATTTAAGGTTCTAATACAGTTCCCTCCTCAGGTCTTGGATTTTATTATTTACAGTGTTTGGCTCACACAGGCTGGCTTGTCTCTTCCATGTGGACTTAGCTGACACCTCACTTAGATGGCTGCTTGTTGTAAAGATAAAGCCTTTAAAACCTTAATAGCTCAGTGGTTATAGATTGGGCTGATAACTGCAAGGTCTGCAGTTTAAAACCAACAGCTGCTCCCTGGGGAAAGATGTGGTTTCCTACTCCCTTAAGGAGCGACAGTCTTGGAAACCCACAGGGGAAGTTCTACCCTGCTTTACAGGATCCGAAGGAGTCAGAATCTACTCGATAGCAGTGAGTTTGGTTTTTTGGCTTCTAAAACCCCAAACACTATTCTTTCTGATACCCATAATCTAATTGAACCAATTGTTCTTAGAGCAGGGCTACAATTAAGTGTAAACTCAAAGTTCATTCACATATCTATGTGTTTTGACTATTATGCTGTTTTGACTACTGTGACTAGGTAATATTTTTTGGAATCAGGGAGACAAAGGTCTCCTTTTTTTTTTTTTTTTTAGTAGTGTTTTGCTGATCCTGGGTTTCTTTCCTTTCTATATAATTTAGCAATTAGTTTTTTCCATTTCATTGAAGAATAATCCTGGGATTTGGATCAGAATTGCAATACATGTATAGATTGCTTTAGATAATAGTGACATTTTTACACCATAAAATCTTCCTATCCTTGAACATGAATCATTCTTCCATGTATGTCGGTCTCTTTTGGTTTCTGTAGAGAGTTTCATAATTTTATTGGTACAAATCTTTTGTTTTGCTGGTCAGGTTGATTCCTGAGTATATCATCTTTTGGGTGGTTATTATAAATGATGTTGTTTTTACATTTTCTTTTCCGAGTTCTCTTCTTTAATATACAGGACTCCTACTGATTTTTCTATGTTGACCATGTAGCCTGCCATGTTGTCAACAATTAGTTCCAGCAATTTTCGTATTGAGTCTTGGGTGTTTTAATATATAGAACCATGTCATTTGCAAACAGAGGGAGTTTTACTTCCTTGCCAATCTGGATGCTTTTGGTTTCCCTGTGATGTCCAGTAGCTCTGGGTAAGACGTCCAGGGCCACAGTAAATGACAGTGATGGAAAAGGGCATCCCTGTCTGCTTTCCCCACAAAGGGACAGTCCTTTCCATTTCTCTCCATTGAAACTGGAGTGAAACGCTAGCCATTAGCTTGGCACCTTTGGCTTTTATGATTTTGAGTAATTTCCTTTGTATTCCTACTTTACTGAGTTTTTGTTAAAAGTGGGTGTTGGATTTTGTCAGGTGCCTCTTCTGCATCCATTGATAAAATCATCAGCTGTTTGTTTGTTTACATGGTGGATTACATTGTTTTTTCTAATATTGGGACATCCTTGCATACCTGGCAAAATTCTCATTCAATCCTGTTGTGTTATTTTTTTTATGAATTTTTTTATTTTATGGCTAGGATTTTGTTGACAATGTTTGCATCTATGTCCATAAGGGATCTTGGTCTATAGTTTTCTATGATGGTGATGTCTTTGCCTGGTTTGGGGATCAGGGTTATGAGTTTGGCTGTGTGTTATATTTTTCTATATTCTGGGATAGTTTGCATAAAATTGGCATCAACACAGGTGAGGAACACACTGTCCCCCACCCAGGGACTTTTGTTGATTCCTGGTCCCTTAAGAATGCAGCAGGGGAAGTCCGTGGAACAGCCGTGGAACAGCCGTGGAACACCATGAACAGCCGTGGTAAGTCCATTAGGCTGCACTGGGGAGCCAGGTGCTATGAGCTTCTGGTAGAGAACCCAGAGGCCAACTTGGGACCACTTTCCTGAGAGGGACTCTGCGATAGTCTGGCTGCTGGCTCCGTGAGACCTATGGGTATCTCCTTCTCCTTCACTTTAATAGCCTCTAAACCAGCAGTTCTCAACCTGTGGGTCACGACCCCTCTGGGGGTCAAGCGACCCTTTCACAGGGATTGCCCAATTCATAACAGCAGCAAAATTACAGTTATGAAGTAGCAACAAAAAATAATTTTATAGTTGGGGGTTACCACAACATGAGGAGCTGTATTAAAGGGTCACGGCATAAGGAAGGTTGAGAACCACTGCTCTAAACCCACATAGGAGCAAGGGACTCACAGTGCAGGAGAAACTGGTGCCCCTGGTCATAGATACTGGGGGGTGTGGGTGGCTAGGAAGCCAGATGAGCAGTGCTCTCTGACAGAGAATGGGTGATAGGACCATGGTTATAGCCAGAATGCATGTAGGGTATGTGGGAAACAGAAAGGTTATTCCCCAGATTGTCCCCCACATTATATGCCCAACCTAAGATGCTGCTTGCTAACACATGGTCAAGGACTATACATTTGGAGATCAATGCTTAAAGGTTATCTCCCTGAGGGTTATCAGCCATCTAGAACAATCAGACCCTCTAGTCTGTCCCGTCCTAAGTAGGGCCCTCTCCATTCTGATAAGGATAGTGGATTGTTCCCCTGAAGGAGAGCCCAAAGATAAGGTCAAGCCAACTCAAGGAGAGCCGAGGTTAGGCTGGCATCTTGAACCCAGTGTCTGCCCATCTTGTCACATGCATGCCCCTAATGCCTCCCCTTCCTATTGCATGTATACCCCTAGTTCACCCTCCTCTTGTTGCACGTATGCCTATTGTGCAACCCCTTCCTGTTACAATGTAATTAGGGGGGCTTGCACGTCCCTAACTGTACATAAGCCTTGATTGGAAATATATTCACTCTCTCTGCATGGACCTGGCTGCTGAGATCATGGCCGTCTTGGAGTGAGCATTCACATGCTTTATGTTGTCTGATGTCTCATTAATTTTACCCCTCAATTACACAACCACCCCTTGGACCCGTTCAATTGTGGGGGCTGGTACCCCACAAGGGTGTAAGACTGGAAAGAGGTATGTAAACCCCAAATCAATGAAGACCAAATTACAACCTCAGTGTTGAACACACATACACACACACACACACACACACACACATGCACACATCCCTCTGACCATTGCTCCAGCTATGGTCCCTCTTCAGGCAGGTCCCACAAGCAGAAGGAGGGTAGGGAAAGAAGCTACTCACACACATCTGCCTGGCGGACATTTTTCATCCGGATGATCCTCACTGTCAGCAGGTGGCATGGAGACAAGCCCTCCTGTGGGTTGAGAGGACAGCAGACTTACTCTTCGGGTATCACCCCAGAACCAATGCCCTTGGAAAGACCTCCCCACCACCTTCACCAACACAGCCACCTGCAGGAGAGCGACCCTCATGCTGGTCTGTGCTTCTCGGGCATCTGTCTGTCTCGAGCCTGGAAGGTCTTGGAGGATCCTGGGGGCCTGAGGCCCTGACCGACTATTCCTCTTTGTCTTGCCAGCACGGGCAGCGTGCTGACCCAGAGAAAGTGCCTGATCAGGGAGCAGGCGAGTTCCAGGCCTGCATGCACAGGAAGCACTCTGCACTCCGGAGCATCTTCCGTTCCCCTTCTGTCTTTACTGAATGATTCTTACTGTCACTCCCTTCCACCCACCACCCACTCCCTCACGCAGGGAAATTTCCCTCACCCACCCAAGCCGATGACCTGCTTGGCAGGCAAGCAAAGTGTGGCTCAGAGAGACAACAGACATTGGTCAAACCAGGAGAGCTAGTCACTGGAGTCCTTATATGAGGCCCCCTTCACCCACTGCTGAATGGCTTCGTCCAGCGCAGGACATTCAATAGCTCCCTCATTGCCTGCCAGAGAGTGTTTTGGGCTGCCGGCAATGTGCCAGGCCTGATGCTAGATTCTGGGAGCCAGGGTGAGTGTGTGAGGGAGGAGAGACGGAGAGGGTGCAGGCAATGATTCCAGGTGACCTTGACAGAGGCCAGCAGCCCAAGCTGCCCATAGGCTCCCACTGTCCTGCCATAGGCTTCTCTGCTCAAGAGGCCTCCCCAGAGCCAATCCATGGTGATTATAAAGTTCTGGAGGATTCTCTTGGTCCCCAGGAACCTGAGGCAGACGGGATGAGGGGCCTTTCTCACACACCACTGTAGTCTGCCCTACCGCTGCAACCGTTTCCTGTCTGAATGGCCGGGCCCAAAGCCTATTCCATGAGGGTTGGACTCAGGTTAAGCTGAACCATTGTTTTAGCCCACTTCTCCCCCGGCCACGGCAGGACCTTCAGACTCCTCCCATCAACCAAACGTCTATATTTATAATGGGCTTTTAAACTAGAACTCTTTTCACACCACCTCCCATGTTGCTAGCATGTTGCTACACATGATATCACACGACATTATACCCTGTAAGAGGATAGATTTCTTCATTATCTACTATAATATTGAGGCTCTGGGGAAAAAAAAACATGGAAGTGTGCAGGGAAGGGGGGTCGTGGGGAGTAACTCATAATCCTACCAATCAGAGAAAACACTGGTCATTGTGATGCGGGTTCTGCAGATTTTCTGGGGGTCTACTTCTAAGCAGCAGCAACAGAATAGAGCCAGGAAGGTTAAAGGGGTCCTGCTCTGAGATAGACATGTAAGTGAATCTTAGGGTCTCTCCTTCTCCTTTGAAATCAAGGCAGAAGCCTCGACTGAAGTCAGACCTTGCACCAGTCTTAGAATTCTTGTGTAAGATTAACTCTGAGAAAAATCAAATATTTGCTTGACTCTTGCTGCATTTTGTTTTGCTATTTGTAATGTGGGCGCAAAATAGCGTCCATATTCTGCCTCTTGACTTGGTTCTAGACCTCTAGCGGTGGTCTCTGGCCAGACCCCCTTGTGGGCATGATGGACTTTTCATTTCTGACCCCTTCCCTCATCCTGGGCCCAACAGGTGTCTTGGTCTTCTCCTTGACCCTGACTCCTTCCACATTCTCAGAGAACAATTTGAGTCTAAGTGGGGAACGCCTGGGAGCCGCTGCCTGAGCAGGGCATCAGCTCCAGTGGGGTGCTTCCTGGAGTTTTTGGGTTAATAGTATCACTATGAGTTGGCTCTGACTCCGTGGTACTGGATTTGAATATGGGAGGAGGGTGTTTAGTGTTTCCGTGGTAGAATTCTAACTCTCCACGCAGAAAACCTGGGTTCTTTCCACACAAAGGACCTGTGTGTCTTCACCCCTCTGGTCTGCCAGGTTGCTATTATGATAAACAGGTTCCAGCGGAGCTTCTACACTAAGATGGACTAGACAGAAAGGCCTGCTGATCGACTCCCAAAAATCAGTCAGTGAAAATCCTATGGCTCACAATGATTCGACCAGCCGAGGATCATGAGGGTGACACAGGACTGGGCCACGGGTGGGTGGGGAGGCAGGGGTTCCTGTTGTGCTCTGCACAAGGTCACCAGGAGTCAGGGGCCAACCGGATGGCAGCTAACAATCGGGGTTCTGAACCAGGGCCCATGGACCTCTTAGAGAAGGACGGTTCTGCTCTTGGCCCCAGCCCAGTTCACTTAGTTCTGCTACGGAAGGTCTTCAGACACAACTCTTCCTAGGACCACTCGAGAACTTCCAGCGCTCTCTCCCTACCACCTAGCTTTGATGGCTTCCAGGGATGTTGGCCACTTCTTCCCACTCAACAAGAAGAGCCTAACATAGCCATCCCTTGGACGCTTGCCACGTGTGAGGTGGCGCAACGACCACGGGCTCTATAGAGTGTCGTGCTCAATCCTGACCAACCACGAAGCCGTTACTATGAGTCCTGTGTTGCTGTGGAGGATCTGGTGGGACATCTGAGGAACAGTCACTTCAGCTAGAATCAAAAGACGCCACACTCGAACCCATTCTGTCTTATTCGCAAACCCGTGGCTGGGTCCATGCCAGTGACCTCACCTGACTGAAGCATAATCCCTGTCCACCGTGAAGACGGGCGTAGTAGGCCCTCACCCTTGTGTGGGTTTCTTTTCTTAGAACATGTGTTCCTGACAGATGCCTCCTCTTTGCACCCCGAACTTCCCCCGGAACACAGAAGCAGCTCCCACACTCCAGCAGTGCTACTTACTTGGGGCTGCATTTTTACTGACACGCTCCATGATCACTTTATGATTATTATTTTTCTAACAGACCCCTAAAGCTTCATATTACGCCAGACTGGCAGGGCCCTTGGAGCTCTGCTTTCTAGTAACCACAGGGGCCTCCTTTGTGGTTGACCTTAAGCCTTGGAACATGCCCTACAGCTCAGCCAGTACTGGGACAGCTCCAATCCCCAAATACTCCACAGAGTGCTCCTATATTTTACCACAAGGAAGGTGGAGCCTGCAGGGCCCTGGGGCGGGGAGGGGGAGACTGGGAGGCAGGTGGAAAGATGGCAAGAACCCAGGACTTAAGAATGGGGCTCAGGTACATGTCAGGAACCAGGTCCAGGCAAAATGGCCTCTTCTTGGACTCAAATGAATGTACAGGGTTTGTTCCTGATACCATTAGCTCCACTGGCATGGCGGTAGGGGTGATGGTCCCAGAGGTACCATCAACAGAGTACAAAGAGATCGGAGAGCAAAGCACAGGGTCTTGGACCTCACCGGTGGGAACCAGAAACCAGGGCGGTTCTAGAACTCAACTGCTTGGGATAGCTTGTGTTGTACAGCAGGCTGGAACGTGAGGAAGCTGGACATAGCCATCCCTAAGAGAAGATGCCCTGGCTCGGGCTGGGTACCAGAGTAAAAATCAAACAATTGAACAGTAGGTATGGCCAGCTGGACTGTGACCTGGGGCTGGGGCCAGGCAAGAATCCTTCAGCTAGGAGGTGTCTACCAATCCAGGGACAAGGGAACAATAAGTGACCTAAAATCAAAGGCGAGAAGGGTATAGGATGCCTGGTGGGGCTTGATCAAGGGCAGTGTAGCTGAGAGGAATTACTGAAACCCGAATGAAGGCTGAACATGATAGCGGGACAAGAGGAAAGTAAAAGAAAATAGAGGAAAGAAGTAGGAGGCAAAGGACATGTATAGAGGTCTAAATGCAGGCATGTACATATGTAAATATGTTTATATATAACGATAGGGAAATAGATCTACATACGTATTTTTATATGTTAAATATTAAGGTAGCAGATAGACATTGGGCCTCGACTCAAGTACTCCCTTAATGCAAGAACACTTTGTTCTAATAATCAGACATTCTGTGATACTCTCCTTCCCCAACAAGATTGCTGAAGACAAAATGGGTGCAAAAGCAAATGTGGTGAAGAAAGCTGATGGTGCCCAGCTATCAAAAGATATAGCGTCTGGGGTCTTAAAGGCTTGAAGGTAAACAAGCAGCCATCTAGCGGAGAAGCAACAAAGTCCACATGGAAGAAGCACACCAGCCTGTATGATCATGAGGTGTTGATGGGATCCGATATCAGGCATCAAAGAACCAGACCAAAAAAAAAATCATATCATTATGCATGAGGGAGAGCATGAAGTGGAGACCAAAGCCCAACTGTAGACAACTGGACATCCTCTTACAGAAGGGTCACAAGGAAGAGATGAGCCAGTCAGGGTGCAGTACAGCACCAAGGACACATACAACCTTCCTCTAGTTCTTCAATGCTTCCTCCCCTCCCCATTATCACGACCTCAATTCTACCTTACAAATATGGCTAGACCAGAGCATGCACACTGCTACAGGTAAGAGCTCGCAACACAGGGAATCCAGGACAGTTAAATCCCTCAGGACCAATAATGAGAATAGAGATACCAGGAGGGGAAGGAGAAGGTGGGGGGAGAAAGAGGAACCAATCACAATAATGTACATATAACCCCTTCTTAGGGGGACAGACAACAGAAAAGTGGGTGAAGGGAGACAGTGGTCGGTATAAGACATGGGGGAAATTCATTTTTTATAAATTATCAAGGATTCATGAGGGAGGGGGAGGGGGGAGGGGAGAAAATGAGGAGCTGATACCAAGGGTTCAAGTAGAAAGAAAATGTTTGGAAAATGATGGCAACATATGTACAAGTGTGCTTGACACAATGTATGTATGTATGTATGGATTGTGATAAGAGCTAAACAAGCCCCCAATGAAATGATTTAAAAATAAAAGAATCCTTCAGCGACTAGTCTGTGGGCACATTAGGAAGGTTCTGGGGAGCACATCAGGTCGGGGCTCAGGGCCGGAGATGTGTGCCGAGCGGCACAGAAGTCGAATTCATTGCTTCCATGAGTAGGACAGCTGTCCTGCGGAGAGCAAGCTGGGGGA